CATACACAATGTCAATATATAAATATATGTCAGACTATGGCAACCTCCTTTTTGGGCACCTGCACCCCCAAACCCCTTCACTTAACATTACGTTGTGAAGTGTTACCTGAAAGGGATGTATGATAAATTCTGCGACACCAATAGACTGTAGGCTTCCCCTGGCATCATGTCCAGGTGCATCACCTTAACAGAAAAAGTGTTACCAGCAAACTGCCACTAAATCAAAATTTGAATGATTTTTATTTTTTAATGCAATGCGTAAGGCTCTTCCATAATCTACTAAACGTCATTTATTATTGATGTATTCCATACAACTTACAGCATACGAGCCAATTAGATAGGCAGCGTTGGCCTGTTTTTTCTGGTCCCCACATGTATAAAATATGATCTTCTTCCTTGACAGAGTAATTGACTGTGTAAAGAAAGAAAAATGACAAACAGAAGTCAACATTCAGGGCAACAAGATTCATACATTTACACGTTCAATTATTGGGAGTCAGGCATTTGCCCTCAGGGTATTTTTTGAAATTAAAACAGACGGAGTGATTGTTTTGTAACTGTGTAATTTTCTCTTGTGCTGTTTGAAACAAAGTCAATGTTCATTTTTAATTTTACAGTTCCTGTTTTTATATTCATAATAATTGCCTACATGTTGACAAACTGGTTGACAAACTCATTTCAAACAGGCAGAGATTTACCAGAGCATACTTTGGAAACAGGAATCGACTTAGATGGAATGAGAGGCTTTGGTTTGTTTTTTAAGAATGCAGTACTGTATTAAATACTGGTTTGTACATTTGTAAAATTTAATTTATTTTTTATCTTCCTACTTTATAATACAATATAGGATTATCATACAAAAAATCCCAAACTAGAGTCCACTGTTGTACCAGCATTGATATCTAACTGCATGGCATGTTTAAATAGATATTGATTGACCTCGTTTGATTTCATTTACTCTTCCTGGAAACACGATTAAGAGCAGCAATTTACTTTACCTTGAGCTTCTTTGTCAGCTTGCAACAGAAGCGATAAAACATGGCGAGGTTAAGGGGACCAAAGTCCGCATAGAAGCTGCGGGAGAGAAAGACAAAGAAGAAGGAGAAGAGTATGTCAGGGCGGCTATTTATGCAACCGGCTGCATTCTCTGGGGATGTTTCAGCAGAGACGTCCAGCTGCCTCACACACTGACACAGTAAAACACTGACAGAGTAAAAGTCTATATTAGGAGACTTTTGACGGCAGAGTGGTTCAATTAGTAGAGGACAAAAGTCTACAAAGACAAGAGGTCCTCTGAGTTCACTGGCAGACACAGCTCAGAAAGGTCAAACATGTCTTCTCTCTGCTGCAGCACTTTGCAAATGCTCTTCCTTCCACTGAATCACTGAAAATTGCAGCAGGGAGATGTTATTTGGTTTACTTTCATACTGCTACTGTGTACTGCTACTGTGCTAGTTGAGATTTTCTTAAAAAAAAAAAAAAAGACACTTTAATTTAAGTAGGAGTAGTTCTTTGCCCTAATGGTTGTGGTAAATGTGGACAAAAAAAAAATCTCTCAGGATCAGAGTATATTTATCCTGAAATGTGTCTGAATTTTATTCTTTTTAATCTTTCTTCTTTTTAAATTTAACATCATCTTACAAAAGAATGTAGTACAATAAAAACAAATCACTAATTCGGTTGGTATTTACAGTCTTCAACAAAAAAGATAATGGTATTTTACTTGTTAATAACACAATAATTCGTTTTTTGTTTTAATTAAAAAAAATTAAATGGCAACTTAATCAGCTTGCATGGTTATAGTTCATTTGACAGAGAATTTAATGATACAGTTGACAAGGAACATTGAATAAACATGTAATAATTAACGTGGGTAGTTTATGACTACCTTTTACACGAACGGTGTATAACAAGAACGGCTTATTCATGGCAAAAACAAAAGAACAACAACAACAAAAAAAACAAAACAACTATTATTTATAGTCAGGCGTCCCTGCTCTACATTCCCATCAGTGTGTGGAGTCCTTGGCCTGAATAACAAAAGGACCCCTGGTCTGGGAAATTCAGTTAAGCGTTTGGTTTAATAGCACCCCCTTGAGGGGAGTGGTGAAAAACCGGATGCTCCGTGTTTACGCTCGGTTCAAACTCTTGCACATGTTTAACACCGTCGAGGAACAGAGACCACCGCAAGAGATAAGTTAAATTACAAGTAGTTATTGTTGCTCCACTGATAAAAGTCCGAAAGTTAATGGAAATGCACCAAAACAAAATCACCGCTTAATGGTAGAGTGTCTGTAAAAAACAAACAAACAAACAAATAAGTGATCTCTTACTTTTCATATGCCAATTCGTCATCTATGCAGAAACAGTGTCTCTCAGATGTGCTCTTGAGCTTCTGCTGGAGAATGGCGAAGTATAGTTGATCTGTGAGGGTGAGGACAGACGGGAGAGGGTGGGTGTGCATGAACAGGCAAGGAGACATACTTGGTTTTGTTTAAACACCTGTGTCTACTCCCACGTTACCAAAACCACATAAACTACAAAAACAACTTCGTAGACACAATTGAAACACTAAAAAAACCCACCTTTGATGAATTCGACACATCTTGGCCGAACATCGTCCAGAGTCGTCTTTACCGCAGTCTTAAACATGTCGTTTTAAAGCGAAACGCAGCTTTTCTTCAGAGAGACTTTTGCATGCTATGTAAAACTTGCACGTAAATGCACGGTGAGTCGTTTTTTGAAGATTTTTTTCGTTATCTTAGCAGCTTCTGTGGAGCCTGGTTTGCTTTTAAGGCAGGAGAAAGTCGAAGAGGGGGTTGAGGAGTTTTTTTCCGTGCTAAAGTGCGCACACTGCTAAAAATGACATCGTCCTGACTCCGCCTATAACAATATACGAGAAACGCCATTGGTTGGAAGAGAGACAGGTCGCTGTGTGAATGGAGGAGCTCGCTATCAGTTAGGCCTCTTTCAGTTTAAAGTTCTCTACATAAGACACATGATAGGGCACGGGAACCGAGCCAGGGCGGTTGTTAGGAGGACCTCGCAGCCAGTCAGATTTGTGAATTACACTCGGACCTCCTCTCCTGACTGAGATTTAATAGAAATAAAAACCGGATTAGCTCTAAACCAAATAATACGTCGTCACACCATTCATAGCGCGTTAATTATTTCCGGCGTCAACACAGCTTTTTAATTATTGACAACTACAAATATAGAACATTTACTCATATTTCCTTCTCATGTAAAACATGAGAAAGCCACAAAAGAAACAACAATAAACCTGGTACAAAGTTCAACCCTTTTATATAAAACTTATATAATGATGACAACAGCTTAGCTTTTTTTCTGGCCTATGCCAGGTTGAGTGATTAATGGTTTTGCCTTACAGTAAGAGGATCACCAGTTTGATTTTGTGGTTCTGATTTTTGTTTTTTGTTTTTTGGGTGGGGTTTATATGTCCTCCCAGTGAGTGTATGGGTTTTCTCTATGTACATTTGATTTCTCCTACAGTCCAAAACATGCAAGATTAGGTTCATTTAACATTCTCCATTGACCAATGTGACCTTAAAAAGGTTAAGCTGGAGAAGATAAATGCATGAATAGGTTAACAGAACCCCAGTCCCCCTGTTGCCAACACACTGACACTGTGGCACTGTGCAGTACTTTGGATCCAGGAGTTTTTTTATAAGTTGTTATGACTATCTGATGTGGGCATGTAATCTTATTATATCCAGAATTCTCTATAATGTGATGTTTATCAGCTTCAGTCGTGCTGATCTTCCTATTGATACGCAACATTAAAAAGAAAAGAGGAAACATGGTTTAAACTGTCCTGCAGCAAATGATTGATAAGGTTTAATATGGAAAATATGACCCCAAATGTGTCCTTTTAGCTATAATTATTTTAACAAAACGTATATGCATTGATATACAATGAATTGTAAATAGTGTAACATATAACTAATGACACAATAATGACTAGGTAAATATAAAATATTTGCTAAGAAAAGAAGGTGATTTTTGAATAAATAGGTACGAGAGTTAGTAGGATAGTTTGGAGCCAGTCCCTGCTGGCAAGCAGTGCTAATGTAACTAAGTGCATGTCTGAGTGGCTTCAAAAAGCTTTTATGGGTAAAAAACGACCTATTAGAAACTAACAAAACATTTGTGTGGAGATATCCTTCCATTTGTTTCATTATTGTCTAAATTGAAAATACTCCATTTAAAGATTTTTCTTTCTGAATGTGCTTTTTGCTATTTTCTCCTAATACAATTTTACAATGCAATTAAAACTATACTGTCACAAAATTAAAAGGGCAGCAAAAATAATGCATTTTTTAAAATAATATAATTACTTATAAAAATGCACATATACTGATATACTGTATACCTTTAAAATATTCCCGAAAACTTTTTTACACACAATTATTTGTAATTTGTTCAGACTTGATATTATTTTATTCAAATGCATGTGCTGAAAACACACATTTTAACATGAGAGAGAGACTGAGGATGTTTTAAAAAATACATCCAAATTCTAAGCATGAGTGTGTATGTGCACCATATGTTTGACCACAAGCTGACCTGATTTCTTCCGCAGAACATACCTAGATCGATCGACCTCTACCGGAGTGCATCTAAAGTCTACATGTGCCATAGGCAACTCAAGTCACCCCCGGTGTGTGTGTTTGTGTGTGTTTGTGGAGCCTCTCACCTGTGATCTCCATGTAAACATCAGAGTTCAGTTCAGCCTCCGAGCCGCTGTTGTTGTGGGCTGAGCAGCGCTTCTTTCTCCACTCCGCTCGTCTCCTCTCGCTCTTGCGCTTCATTTTCTCTTCAGGTCTTCAGACTGGTGGACGACATTCCTGAGCAGCGTCACCACACTGCCCCCCCTTGCGATGCTGCGGATCGGTTCTCCTCCCTATCCGTTGGTACAGTTGTTGTTGCACCCGGACTATGGCATGTTCCTGCTCTGCGCTGCAGCAGATGATACGCATTCATGCATCTGCCTGGGTGTGCGTTGTTGTTGATGTGTGTGTGTGTGTGTGTGTGTGCGTGTCGACAGTAAGACAGTCTGCTGCTCCAGCCTCTGTGGTGACGTCGATAAACCAGGGCTGCTTCCAGCTTTGTGGATCTCCAGTCTGTGACGTATCAGGATTAAATGCCCAGTGAGTGCAGCCTTTGCCTTTGCTCAGTAGCAGTACTTGCAAACAGATAGTGTGGGACAAAACTGCACAATCACACTGGAAAAAAATCCTATCATAGTATTTATTTTTTATATATAGTTTTATATAGTACCAAAGGCTCAGACTTCAGTGGAAAAATATATACTCCACCAAAAACAAAACAAATAGAAGTTCAGGCCTAGTAGTCAACTGATTATGAGGTATTTTAGTACCTAAGCTAAAATGGATTTGTGTGTTGAAAATAAAACTACAAGAACTGTTTATACTGGAGTAGGTAGCCAAAAGTATGATTGTAATGAAGTATAAACATCATCAGATCCTACAGGGTCTGTGAAATAGTTATGTACTCTAGTCACAACAGAACATTCAATTTGCGACTATAGAACAATACATTTCATTTTGAGAGATCCACACAATTACAGCAGTAAATATAGCCTTAATTTCCCAAAGGAAACTCCCTGGGTGGATTAATAAAGTTCTATCAATCTATCAAACTGCAGTAGATATATTTTTGTGTGTGTCATTTACAGGGTAATAAATACTGTGATATATAAAACAATTGTGCAATGAAAAGAAAAAAACACAGATTTAGTCTAGCTGCAAACATCATGGCACCGATAAGATAATTATAGAACATCACTATAAATTTAAGACAATGAAAATGTCAGTGCAAGATAACAACAGTAACAACAGCATACCCCTGTTACTCTGATTTCTTTATCTCATATTCCTTTCTATGTATATATATATAAAAAACAGAATAAAATCTAAGCTTACAAGGAAACGTTACTAATATATCTTTGAAAACCTGCAATTTTTAGCAGATAATTGTTATTACGATAAAATAATGCATGTATTTATAATATAATTTTGAAGTATCACAGTGTATGGCAAGTGTTGATCAACTACAGGAACAATAAACAACAGCTTCAGAAATAAAAGGAAATAAATATAATTATCAGATTCTTCATCCAAAGATGTCTTATTAGTGTGGTAAAAAAGTGACAAAACAAACAATAAAAAAAATAAAAAAAAATAGCCACTTTGTGATACTTGTGAACAAGGTAACCAATCCTGGGAAATTGATTTCTCTGCTACATTTTATGCCCTTTACCCCCTTTCTTTCCTTTTTTATTGTTTTTATTATTATTATTTGTACAATATTAATCATACTCCTTATGGAGCCACACAGGCAAAATGTTTGAATTTGGATTGCAGAAAAAAATACAAGAGATAAATTGACAGGTACAGACCTTTCATTGTGTGAAATAAGAGCCTAATGACCAATGGCAGCAGAAACAATGGCAGCACATGGCTACATGGTTATATGTGCAAGATCTTTGGCTTATTGCTGAAGTCCAGAGTCTGTTGAACACCAGCGAGCTGCAGGAGCCAGTTGATGGGCATGTGATCCAGGCGGTTCATGTCAAAATGGGAGAAATGGACTTGGGAGCCTGGACAAAGAATAAAGAGTGAAGACAGTTGCAGGCTAATTGACACCTGAGATTTAAATGTCTTCACGACGAGACATTTCCAGGATATTAAACTAAGGGTCGTGAGCCCAAACTAAGTGGAGGGACAGATGTGTAAGCTCACCTGGTCCTGCAATGATGGCCCCGCCTTGCTGATACAGGTCACCTTGAAAGTCAAACTTCGGGCTGGTCATCGCCCTCCATATAGTCTTCATTTGGCCCACAAAGACACCAGACTTCACATGAGGACTAGGATTTGCTGAGAACACAGACATAAATTCATGCATCCTCATCCACAAACATCCTGAAAATCTAACTAATTTGACTTTGTTTTTGTCATTGATGTCAGTTGCATTACCAGACTGTGTGAATTTCTCCTCCCTCTTCATTCCAAGGTTTTGAAAAATGCATCTTTCTGGGTCCACATATATTTCATAAGGATAGCTGGTCAGTTTGCAGAAGGGCTAGAAACATATCATGAACAGTTGTGCTAACATGTCTACATTGTAACATTATTGTATTGCTTAGGTAATATGTAGGTAGTTCCTACAATATGGTAATTAATAAAAACACAACAAGACATATATGCAAATTGTCATATATTTAAACATCTATTGTGAACAGTACTTTAACTCCATTAATGCCAAAGGATAACAACTGATTACGTTTGATTAAAACCTGTGCTACACACCATAGCATAGATGTTGTCCATACCTCTATATGATGATATGCAGACTGACCAATCACAACAAGTCGAATATAGGCATCCTGCAACAACAGCACGGCAACTTTTGTACACTTAATGGTAAAGGCATTAGAAAAACAACACAGTTCTTTTTTTATATTCCAGAGAAATCACTTGGCTGCTAATGTTGAGTCCATGGAACATGGAATGGAAACAGTGATTTACACTAACATATACCTGGTGATTATTACAATGCATTCAATTCCATATACTACTGTAATTATTACATCAATCTGACAAAAGTATTTCATATTCCATTCATCATGTTCTAAGTACAGGTCTATACAGTAGTTCTACAAAATATAAAAAATGTTGATTGACAGACTAGTCACTAGTGTGGCGAATGAATACATTGGCTCCTTTGTGATACTTGTCTACGAGGTATTTGCTTTAAAATCATTGCTGTGGTGCGAATAAAGGACTTCTTATGAAATCTGGAAGTGGCTTTTTAGTTAATTGTTATATTGTATTTGTCTTTATTGAGTTTTAATTTCTATTTTATTCCTCAATTTAAGACAATGCAACAAATGTGTGTTTGTTTTTTTTGTTCACATAAAAGTGTGTATATATGAGTCTGGGGGTGGTTAGGTAACTTCTTCCAGCGCCAAAGAGGCTAGGACCACACCTGGCTTTAAGTTCTTACCTCCAACGCTTCTTTAGGTATTTTTGCCAAATCGTCCACGTACTCTTTACAGCTGTAGCACAAGAAACTCTGCCGGGAAACACAGTTAGGTTAATAGGCTGAAGTAATGTATGTGTTGTACTGTATTGTGATACTTGTGTTTCACACCTAGATTATGTTTAGCTTCGTCCTCATGGAGAGACAATGATGTCTGTATTCTGCTATCTTAAAGACTGAAAGAACTGTTCTGTGGTGATGCTCACCTGTTGTTCAAATAGAAAAACTTTACGGGGCTCACTTTAAACATCTGTACTGTATAATGACTGGGTTTGAGGAATGCAGTCAAGGATACTTTATATGAGGGTAAATCAAAAAGTTCGAAGACACGAATTGTCACTTCAAAAGGTGGTTTAATAACGAAAAAATGTTAAGACCTGTTTTAGCAAACAGGATATTTGTAACCGGAAATGAAAAAAAAAGGTGTTTAAATGATTAAAGCTTGGCAAAAGGTTTTGCAAGTACAAGTCTAAAACTTTTGGAAGGAACTTGATTTCAGTCCATGGACAAAGAAGAATGAGACATCCCCTTATAAAATGTAAGAAGAATGAATTCACTGATAGAAAATATAAACCCTTTTTTTTATTTTAGATTTTTTAAAATGTCTTCATGTTCACCCAGAATAATGAAGCGAAACGTTTCTCCTACCCGCACGAAAACGATCACTGCCTTCCTGTCTTGGTATAACTTCTTGAAGGGGAGAGGGACTCCCCGGCGGTCGTAGACTAAACAGTCTTCGACTTTTTGTAGTCGAATGTCGACAGGAGGGTCCTGGCTGTCCAGTTCTCCTTTAGTTATTTGTCGTGTTATTGGTGAAACAACCTCAGCCATTTTTTTACCCTGACGCTTCCTGGGGTCGCGCCGCTATTTTTGGAGCTGCAGCGTTTCAGGGCGGAGGAGCCGCAGCAACGAATTCACCCTCAGATTCTGTGTTTTATTAAGAGACGACGCATTCCGGGTCGAACTGTTTGTCAATGCTGCAGTAAACAACTCAATATTAAAACTGCGGTTTACTGTTAAAGGAAAACGTCAACATAACGAGTTCAATTGCACTTGTAAACACGACAGAAAGTCAGACTTAATAATGCAATACATTATTATACGGTACCACATATTGTATGGTAATATATCTCTACACTCAACTTTAAGATACTTTATTTATTGCTGTCTTTTTTATTAGACTAAGACCGTTGTTTATTGATTGATATGGCAATTTTATTACTTTTATTTATTGTATTACTACATGTTAGTATAGCTACTATATTTTTAGAGTTCTAATATTGCGCTGTATGTTATTACACTGTACGTTTTCTTGCGTTTCCACTTTACAAATGAATTAATCTGATATTTGATCTTGCTAATGGTATTTATACTATACTACTACTATCTATTATTTCATTTTTTCATCAACAATCACTCAAACTACAACATCAGTAATACTAATAATACTAATATTACTACTACTTATAATAACAATAGTCATTATTATAATAACTATTATTATTATTATTACTATGTAGATCCGTCTACGAATCTACATCGCCTGTACTAATTCTGAAGCGTCCTCCTCGGCTTCCGTCGTTAAGCTCTGTCGTGCGGAAGTGTTGTCCTACGGATAAGAGCAGCAGCTTGAGCAGCTGCAGAACCACAGAGCCTCAGCTTCGTTGGTCTCTTGGAGCAGCCCCTACCACTGTATCTCTCTCGCCTGCTCTGGTCCGCACTCGTCTCCGTCGTGGATCGCAGCAGTATTATGTGAGCACCGCCCGCATTGTGGCGTCGCCTTGTGAAGTGGTAAGGGGATGTTTGATGTTGGAGCTACAGCTAACTTAGCATTCAGTGATGGAGCCAGCTAGTCTGTCACAAATCTGACCCAGGATACCGACAGAACCGTGTTTCCCCTTTCCGCCTGACTGGGACATAACGACGCGAGCCGGCAGCCTGTCAACAAATTTGGCAACGAGCAGCCGTCACTTACAGTCTGCTTTGTGTGTTTGTGTATACATGCTAATGACCACCTGCTCACTGTTTACATCTTTGTATTCATTAGGCAGCCTAACACCGCGTCGTTGTTGTTCCTTAAATGGGTTTAGTAATGCACTTTTAAGTACAGTATAACTCCTATACATTATACTACACTCAGGTCGGCCAAATAAACTTATGTTGCACATTAAGCTGTTCAAACAGGGACACGTGTCCCTTCATTTTTGTGAACGAGCTTTACTGATAACGTAGATAGGTTATTATAGGTTTTATTATATTAATTTCGAAAAGGTATATTTATTTTGGTTAATCCGGATGTAATAATAGTTTTATTATTGTTATTAAGTTTTACCCATGATGCACAAAAACCGGGGATACCAATGTAATGTAATGCACGGCTTCAGTTATATGCGTCCCCTCTCGTCTAAACTACACTTTGTATTTGTAGTCTTTCACTATTGGCAGCTCTTTTGTTTTAACTCTTTATTCTCCCTTATCTGTTGCGTAATAACATGCACTGTATATGTTGAGTAATTAATGCCTCATCAACTAGTAATTAACTAAGTAACAGTTTCGACATAAAATTAACTATTTTTGACAGCTATAAAAGAATTAAAAAGAGAATTGACTAACAAGTGTAAAAAAAAGAATGTATTCAGTTGTATATAAGGAATATTTGCAGCCTCACTTTTCACATATTGTCTAAAGAAGTGGCAATTATTTTTTTAATGTATTCAGTTATATTGTCCAAATGAAGCATGATAGCAGTGTGTTTTTCTGGCACAATTTGGATCATTAAAATAAAGAGCCTCATTAAAAAAAATCAGGTCAGGGCTGAGAATTACTCATGTGAACTGTGCCTTTGCCAGCTTTGTGGCAAGTTTGTTTGTGTTGAGGTTGGCTGAACAAATGAGGACCAGGGAAATATAAAGTAGACTGCATTACAACGTGCAGCTATGGCTCAGTGGATAAGGGGTCTAGTGTCCTACTGGTAGTTTTGAGGTTGAGTCCCTTATAAGGACTTTGAAATTTGATATTTATATGACTTTGTGTTTTATCCGGTACAGTAAATAGGAATGATATCTGTTATATGTAGGTTTCTACAAATGTGTGTGGGACTGTACCGGGACAAAGCACAACATGGTGACTAGTTATGGACAGCAAATAGATTAACAATTTTTTTAATTGTTGAATTTAAAAAAATACTAAATAACTTTTCTCTATTTTAAAGTTTCTTTGAGTCATCTATATGGGCCATCTTCTCTCGAAAAATGGTTACCGCCTGAAGAAGAGGACTCGCAAACTCCATCACAAAAAGAAGAAGAGGAGGAACTGCTTCCTGCAGGGCCCTTGTATGCTGTGTTTCATCGTCCACAGCAACAGCGGCAGTTTTGACGACGACAACCACTCGGAGGCTGGGGCAAACGGCAGCGGCTACTGTCACAACGGCATCACTGGAATCAGTGTCCCCGGTGTCGGTATCGGTGCAGTAGCTGCCACCAAGCTCGCTGAGAGATACGCATCAATTGCTTCCCCGGAGGACTGCTCCAAGTTCCTGTTGTCTTCCAGAGAACTGTCCATCTGGGAAGGTCAGACGAGAGGCTTGCTCTCAGCTGTTCCTGCCAAGTTCATTCCTCCACCAGCTCTGTTTAGAACTGCTGGGGTGTCAGTCACCGTACCCATCCCTGTCCCTGTGCCCGGCTGCACCGGAGACTACACTGAGATGGTAAGTAGATTTTTTTTTTTTAAAACTTTGTCTCAATAAAGTTAGGGTTTTGTTTAGAAATGCCTGCGTAATAGAAAATAAATGTGAAGATTTGTCAGTTTGTAGTTATAGACTTCATTTCAGTGTTTCTCAAAATGTAGGTTGTGGCCTCATTGAGGTCAAAGTGCAGCATTGATACTGATAGACCCTTGATGCTGCTGGGGAATCGAATGTTTTGATTGGTCAGAGAGTCAGAGGGCGACAACATGAAGCATTTTTTTTATGTTGACTGTGCCCGACACATTATTGTGTGTGTCTTATTTTTGCAGGTGTGTAAGAGGAAGTGCTCTGAGGTGCAGAGGTGCACCCCCTGTAAGCAGCCACGCTGTGCCTTTGCTGCTCCTGATGGAGGCCTGGAGAATGGAGGAGTGGCAGGAGGTGGAGGAGAAACCTCTTCCAGCCCCGAAACTGGCAACTGCCATCTTTCTCTCTGTCCACTTCCCTCCTCTTCCTCGGCCTCCTCCTCATCCTCTTCACCCTCTGATAGGTGCTGTGGGTTAGGTCTCCACGCTGACCTGCCCCACAGTTCAGACTCATCTCCTTGCTGCCTCAATCACAATGAAGAAAATCAGAGCAGAAGTTCTGATGCTGCTGATCATCTAAGTATCAACCACCTGCCTTCCTCCATCCTACTTAAGGTAAGTCTTAAGTAAATATTTTTTCAACTCTACGTGGTATCACAACCCCAAGGTTGAAAATTCATATTTTCACATTTACATTTTCAATTGAATAAATCTGAAACATACCATGCACAATTAATACAACATTTAAACATAAACATCTTTCTAAACATTTCTAAACATCTCTCCTCTGTGGTGGAAGCTAATAGTGAAGGTCTATGCTGCTGTATTCTAATGTTGGTCATCATGGTGGTACTCAGAGAGATGTTTTCTCTGGTGGTACAGAGTAGAAAAAGTGTGAGAACCACTGCTGTAGACAAACTTGAAGTCTGATACCTTGGTTGTTAAAATAACACATATTTTTTTTTCTCTGAAAGTTTTTTTATAGCTATATATTAATATTTAATTCCAAATACCTCTAGTACAAGGGTGTCAAACTCATTTTCACCGGGGGCCACATCGGCAATACAGTTACTCTTGAAGGGCCAGTTATAAATGGAACACTGTTTACATCAGTAGTCCTCAACCCCCGGTCTGCGGACCAGTACCAGTCCATAGGTCACTTTTTTAAACTATTTAATAATTTACTTCATCCAAATAAAATCCTGTCATATCCATTTCCTTTCATTATTTACAGATAATCTGGCAATATTAAAATAAAAGTGTCATTCAGAGTGATACAAACAGAATGATCCTTCTATGCTCAGCACCTTGCTACTGGTCTGTAGTAAGGGGTGGTACTGGCTGACCAGTCCTTGGAACAACAAAGGTAAAGGGCCACTGGTATAAATGTAACTACGCCATAACAGACTAATAGATGTTTCTGAAATTGATCATTATTTGATTGTTTATAGAACTAAATGCTTTTTAAGCACAAAATGACTTGGCGAGCCAAATTTGGACCCCGGGCCTTGAGTATGACACCTATGCTCTAGTACCTTCCTCCATTCTGACTCTGATCTTGAATTACGAGCATGAAGCAGTTTAACCTGCCAGAAAGCTAATTTACTGTTTTGCATTCTTCCTGTCTTTTTTCCTTGTACCTTGTTTTTTTTCTTTCATTAATTTCTAAATTGCCTAATATTTAACGACTGCAATAAGGTTTGTCCGTTAAAACCACTAAAAATATTTTTCTTTGTCCCATAAATCTGTTTATGCTATTTCCTTTTCTGAATGATTTAAACATTTCTCTCAGGTGCTGTCCCATTTGACAGTGAAGGAGCGCTGTCTTGCTGCTTCTCTGGTTTGTAAATATTGGAGGGACCTCTGCTTGGATTTCCAGTTCTGGAAGCAAATCGATCTCAGTGGCTTACAACAAGTAAAAGCATTTCAAGTCCTCTCACTTTCAACCCTGGTTTTTTTTTTTTTTACCATCATGGTAAAGACACACGTCCTTCTGTCTCTGTGTTATTCCTCTCCCTCAGGTTAATGATGAACTGCTGGTGAAAATAGCTTCACGGAGGCAGAATGTGACAGAGATTAACATTTCTGACTGCAGAGGAGTCCACGACCAGGGTGTGTCCTCCCTGGTTGCCAACTGCCCCGGCCTGCAGAAGTACACCGCTTACCGCTGCAAGCAGCTGGGAGACACGTCCGTCTCGGCCCTGGCCACACACTGCCATCTGCTGGTGAAAGTGCATGTCGGCAACCAGGACAAAT